TCTGTTTACCAGGGAATAGCATACTCGCAGATTAGTGTTTTTGGCTTTAAGCTTTTGCACCGAGTAACAGCAGGCCTTCAGTTGTTAAACCCAACAAGTTCTGAAACTATTTCTACTCAATATTTGTTATTCAAACTTTCACACGAGTTTTTAAGTCATCTTTGCAAGAACAATTAGTACTTTCTGAAAATAAACTGGATTATAATTATTTTTTAATTGTGTTTTATATTTACAGAATCCCTTTGAATATTGATAATGAGCTCCAGCCTTTACTGAGGTCAATGGCAAAACTCCCACTTAGTTCAGGGGAGCCAGGGTTTTATATCAGTGTCACCAGGCTGAAAACAAGTATATTTTGTTATTCAAATGCTAATGTTCCTAGCTGTTGAAAGGAATAGTAAGTATCAATGCACAGCCCTGATGAACACAGCAACTGTCAATTAAAATAATTATGACAACTTAAACATGCTTCTAGTTTATATATTTTTTAAATCAAGCAGTTCCTAGGATTATTGAAAATGAAAGACATGAGAACTTGTTTTTAATCCTGCATTTATTTTATGAATGACAGTACTTTATTCATATAATTAAGTTTACTGTTTTCCCTGTAGCCAAATTCCCTTATTTGTATGGGTTTTTCAGACAGCAAAAGAGAAAATTAAAAGAATAAAATGCAATTGTGTTCTGATATTGCTTTTAACTGAACAGATTTCAACTTGATATATTTTTAAGGATATAATTTTAATAACTGCTTTGATTCCTTGTTCCATCACCCCTCTGTGTGAATTCAACTGTTACTCTCAGAACAGAGAGCTGTAAACTCTGCTTTATATTGTAAGAAAGATTGGAAACCCAACTTTGATGGACCATAAGGTCTCTCTCTCCAACTTTATTAGCATTTCAAAATACTACAAAACATGCTGCAGATACACCAAGTGGATGAACTTAAAAAAAATATTTTAGTGCCAGTTGTTTCTTTTCAAAAGAACAGTGGTACTAGCCCAGTGACCAGGAGGAAAAGTATTAATTTTTGCATAACCTAGTATAACAGAATATCTAACAGCAGTAGTATTACTTTCCAGTATTTCTTTTGGAACACCAAACCAAATCAGCCCATTATTGAAATCCTTGGCTGAAGTTCTGGCCAAATGTGACCTTGATTCTGTTAACCCTGCACCACAAGGCATAAGGAAAGGAAGTTGAACATAAAAATTAAATAATCAAAGTAAGTGCATCAGGATCATGGGAAGATACAAAAAAAAAAAATCATGTCAAATACTCTCAGCTCTGATTTTAATGGCTGTCAACATAAAAGATACCAGGGGGCCAATATCTAAGACAGGATATATTTTAAAAGGTAGTCATAAGTGATATACATACAGTATGCCAATACTTGAGCTAAAGCACTTTTCCAGCACAAATTAAAAACATTCAATCAGGTGGGCACATATCCGGGTTTCCAGGCTCAGTGAGGCATGGTACAGGGATTAAGTATCAACATCTAAGAAATATGCATCCAAAGAGGCCGTACAGGTATGTGTGACACATCCATCTCAGACACGCAAATCATGTTCACTTCACATGGACTCATAAGTCCATATGGAGGGTTTGAGTTCACAAGTGCTTTGGGAACTTCTGAGAGAAAACTTAAACAAAACAAATTTAGGTTCCCAAGCGATGCTCAAACACACATAGAAAGCCAACTGCTTAATTAGAAACTGCATCCAGTACAGAACTTTGGTCCACTTGACCACTTAACACCTAGCTGTAACATGAGACAGTCAGCTGAGTCTGCACCCCATCTTACCTCTACCTGTCGTAGAACACAAGCAGCTTTGAGCAGGAACTGCCTTTATCTGTGTGTTGTAGGAAGCAAGGTTCTCCATAGGGTGGGGAAGCTCAAGAGTGTGTCTACCCAACTATACAGCTAGTCCAATCAAAGATATCACCACAAAAAACCCACAACAACAACAACAACTTGCTTTTCATATATTTCCTGAGCCACCGCTGCTACAAAAACACTCCAACCCTACTACCTCTGTGTACTATATAGCACCAAGGAAATGTCAGTGCTTAGCAATTTACTCATATTAAACCACCACTTCAAAGAAAGCTTTGAGATGCTCACAAGTTTTTAAAAATACCTAGAATCCAGGGTCTGTCAGATGACTGAGCTGGAAACAAGTCTTGAAATCAATGAACCTTTATTGAGAACAATGCGTCCAGGGAGCTATGAACTCAAGTGTCTCATCTGGATGCACAACTGCCATTTAATCACATGGATGGGGCAGGGAATGGTTTCTGTAACAGCCAGAACCTAAACCAAAGACAGCGCTTGTCAGATGAAAACTAAGGTCTTCACCCATACGTGTTGACCACAAATGGGAAGCCAGGAGCAAATGCATATAATACTTCCCATGAAAAATGCTGGTTAACATAAAATGGAGTTGCATTCTGAACCAGCTGCATCTGGTCTTTAGATTGCATCACAGTGCCAACCTTGAAGGGACAAAGCATTTATCACTGCACTGAGTTCTTTATTTGAAAGGAGCTATTGCAACTTCTTACAAAGTAGGCAACAGGGGAGGAGGGGGAAAGTAGGCCTGATTTCCTTTGCTTGTTGAATACTCAGAAACAGCTCAGGATTCAATCAGTCCTTCCTCTTTGTGACCCTGGCTAACCATGGGCACACTGCCTCAGGTAAGGAGACAGATATAGGCTGCATACACACATTCAAATAACCTAGCAGAATTCTCCTTGGTTTGTTTTCCTAGTAGAAAAACTTACCAGGAGACGCAGACATTTGAATGCTGAGCTCTTGAAGAGCAGAGAGCTTGCAGTACTGAGGCTACACAGTAGGGCTGCGCAAAGCTTCAACAGCTGATTTGATTCGGAGGAGATTGGGCCCAATCCGGTGACCGAATCTCCAAATCGAATCGGGAAACCAAGTAAAAGCTCCAAATCAATTCAAACCATCTGAATCTATTCAGAAAAATATTCAGCTAATTTGGAGATTCAGCCATAGACTAAGGCAGCTGATAGCTGCCTCCAGTCTGGCAAGCTGCCCAGCCAGGGGGCGCATTACTCAGGGAGGTGGGCTGGGGGGCGCGGGATGCAGGTGAAGCAGTGCTGGGAGTGGGGACTCTGCCCTACTGCCACTTGCCCAGCCAGGGGTGGGGGGGGAAGGATGCAGGCACAGATCACTCCAGGCAGAACGGGGCAAGCAGCAGCAGGTTATAGCCCCCATGGCTCCTCCCACCAGGGCAGAGGCAGACACAGCCTGGGGAGCCACAGGAGGAAAAAAAGCCCCACACTCACTGGCTGCAGGAGCAGCAATTGGGGCCTCAGAGGGCTCATGGCAGAGCCCCCCCATGCAGTGCAGGGCACTGGGGGGCAGCAGGGATTGTGCCCCCCACTTGGCACCTGTGCGGCAGCTGCCCCATGGCATGGGTACAGCGCAGCTCAGCAGGGTGCTGTGTGCCATCTGGGAGCTGAGGCGGTTCTGTGCGTCAGCTGGAGCCTGGCAGCGCTCAGTCCCAGTGGCCCAAGCTCCCAGACAGCGCACAGTGCCTGCCGAACTGTGCTACACCTGCACAATGTGACAACTATCACATGGGTGCCAGGTGGGGGGAGGGGGCAACCCCACTGCCCCCCGCTGTGTGGGAGGGGCTCTGCCATGAGCACCAGGGCCCCAATCACTGCTCCTGCAGCTGGCGAGTGCAGGGCTTTTTAAGTGCTGGGGCTAGGCAGGGCAGCCATGGGGGCTTCTCCAGTGGCTCCCACCTGGGGAGAGGCAAGCACAGCAGGAGTCATCGTGGGAGAACCTGAAGCCGTCCAGCTGTGCCTACCTCTCCCAGTCAATCCGAATCACTGAATCAGCGCCGAATCTTCCGAAACTGATTTGGTTGACTCAATTCAGGACAGTGATCCGAATCAAATCGCTGTCCTCCGAGTTGAACACTTCCCTATTCACACAGACCTACTGTGCAGCCAGGGGACGCTGCATATATCTCAGCATGCTTTGCAAACTCCCTCAGTCTGCCCATAGATAGCTGGCAGCAGTGCACACAGGACAGCTCTGATTGGCTGTTGCAGACTGCTCAGTCAGCCTCTCTCCCCCTGTAGGAAGGTGTGGGATTGTGAAGGGGGCATGTCCAGCTACCTGCTTGGCTGGTGCAGCAAAGTTCAGTGAGCAACATACCGTCTCCCAGAGGAACTGGGGGAGAGCTGGAGCAAAGCACCCTGGGATGCTAAAGGACAGTGCTGTAGCTTCTCTCAGAAGAGAACATGTACAGACTTTTGCTCTCCCAAGAGAAACTCTCGGGAGCAATTTAACTCTGGTTGTTCCCAAGTTATTTTTCTCCTGGAGCAGCCATTTTTGCTCTGGGAGAAAAATCCTGAACAGCTGTACACTTGTAGTTTCTCATGGGAGAGTTACTGCTCTCCCAAAAGAAACTGAATGTCTGTACATAGCCACAGTCTCTGCACTTTCTTCTGGATGCTTCTGAAAGTCAGTGGGACTTAAAAGCTTAAGTCACTTAGGTGGTTTTAACAAGTTAACCTTAAAAGTCTCACAGCTAATTCTCATTGGTCTAACAGTACAAAATTACATGGATGCACTACCTAATTATGAAGGAGATGACACCCAGCTTTACATATACATATTCCAAGCACATAAGCCTACCCTCTCATTATCACCCACATACATATACCAGCTAGAGAAGCACTGCTACAGAATTCTGCTGACCCACATGATAGCCCATGGGGCAGATTAACAGTCACCCACCCCTGGCTTCTGGAACCAACAGATTTGCTTGCAACAGCAACACTATATATTCAGAAAGGGTCTGTAGCAACATCGCTACCACATGGCCAACAGCCTTGAGTGCAGCAGGCAGGCCCAGGAGAATCACCAACTCCTATCACCCAACAATACTTTGGAATTTCATAAACTTGCTTTAAAAACCAACATCAGTATCCCCCTCCAAATTCATACATACCTGATCACAGCCTGCATTCACCAATTCCTGTAACATCTGCCTATTTACTTCTATAGTTGCTGAGGTGCCCGACTCATTAGCAAAAGGCAATAAGGAATATCTGATTTCTCGCAGTGCTTTTTGATAAGGTCCGAACTTGGCTGTTTGTCTCATTTGCTGCTGCCTGGCAGCATCTTTCCGTACTAAAATTTTAGGGTCCAGAGAAGTTTCACTGCCTGGTCCAACAGGTAACACCTGACCTGAAGATTTAGAAGGCTGCTTTAAACCTTCCCGAATCTCTTGTAACCTTTGTCTGCTGTTTCCAGAATAAGTTGTAGCAGGAAAAGTCTTTGGCCTCATTGTTAATCCAGTTTTCTTTCAGCATAAATAGTCTCTCTCTTTTTTTAAGACACTTTATTCTGAAAAGTGTTTCTCTCGATGGTATTAATTTGTTGTAAACATAATCCTTAAAATCAGTTTCCACTCTGAATGTTTTACTTCAGTTCACAAACTTCATGGCTTCTACAAAGAATGAAAACCCCCAAAATCTTCATTTTGCAGACTGACTGTATCTGAAACAAAAGAAAATATAAACAATTTAATATTGTTTTCTGCCTCTTTTAAACAGTTTGCTACATATAGGATAGAAGTGAATTTTTTTAAAAATAAGGTTTCTTTTTCTAGATTTCCAAGATTTGAAAGGATTTCTTAAACTGATGGCTGAGTGACATTTTTAATAGAATGGTCAATGTTATTATCCATCGTAGAAAGATGTTGACACAAATTTTCCACAGTAAATTTTCATTTCTCTTGACATTTTTAGTTTCCAAAATAGTTGAAAACCACAAACCCCGAAGTTTAAAAAGTTCACATTGCCTAACATTGGGCAAAATTCACACATAACTGCATAACAAAAAATTGGGCAAGCCTATTTTTATGTCATAATTAGCAAGAGGTATGTTCATACTGAGACTCTCTGCATCAAGATCTTGTCTGAAAAAAGGCCCCGATTATTTTACAATCACTGAGTTACAAACAAAGGAAGAGGAGATTTCTAATGGAAATAGCGACAGCTCTAACTAGAGTATTTCCTACTATCCAAAAGCCAAGCTCAGTAACCAGACAGACAAGAAATTCTGACATTCTACTTTAACCTTAATAAATGCTGAAGATGCAGAACTTACTTCAAGAGCAGCAAGAAAAAAAATAATCTACCCTGCACTGAGAGGGCCACATTCTTTTAAATGTAGAGTTGTACTTTACCTACTAAAAAAAAAAAAAAAATGCGTTATTCAGAAAAATATAGATGGAAGAAAAAAAAAATGCGTTATTCAGAAAAATATAGATGGCAGAACCTGAGCTCCAAAAGATAACATGTGTAGTGAAAAATAATAAAAATCCCAGTCTGGAAACAAGGCAAATATGGGACAGGACATTCAAATATTAAACTTGTGAACTCTGTAAGGGAGTCTACTTTCCTTCATGTGTTTTTTTTACAGCACCTAGCACAACGAGGCTCTGGACCTGGCTGGGGCTTCCTGACATTAACATGATAAAAATGTTGCACAATTGTATATTCAAAGGAGGATTAAAATGTCCACTGCTGATGCACCACACACACTACTGATGCCAGCTCCACACCTTGGCTTCTGTTATGGTTTAACTGAAAATACTGTCTCCTCTAATATACGTATTAACACATAAAATGCTTATCATCTATACATCTGTATCGCATTATGAAGTAACTATCTGCTGTATAGGTTTTCCATTCAGTTGTTGTGGAATAGCAAATGCAATTATTTAAGTCAGGAAAGTGCTTTATTTCCTCACCAATAACACAAGTCAAAAACTAAAGGGAAATATTTCGAAAAGTTCATTTCTGGGAACAGAAAGTTTAAGCCCCAAGAGAAAAACGTTTCCATAATGATTATTCCCCATTTTACCAAGCTCCATATGGATTTAAGTACAGTTCCTGCAATTGTGAAAACTACATGATTTTTCATCCTGAACAAGGGTATTAAATCAAAAGCCTCTCTTAACCCTGCACTCGGACGTGAGTATGATCAGAACTTGGAGAACATCTCCAGATGATCACCATCCATCCTCAGAGCCCACAATGCCTGCCATTGCCTATTTTGAAGGGTGAAGGCATGAAATCACCTTTAAAGTCAGCATCACTCCCCGGTTAGTAAAACATTC